CTAGTTGCTGGAAAGGCGGCGAAAGGAGCATCCATACGCGCACGCAATTAGACCCCCGCCGTGAGATGCGTCGGTGGCTGTGAGGCAGGTGGGGACATGCCTGGAGGCTGAAAGGGCTTCCGGACGCATACATCGCATCAGGCGCCATCGTACGCCGGACCAACGATGCATCATAACATCAACTAGTTGCTAGAAAGGCGGCGGCGAAAGGAGCATCCATACGCGCACGCAATTGGAACCCCGCCGTGAGATGCGTCGGTGGCTGTGAGGCAGGTGGGGACATGCCTGGAGGCTGAAAGGGCTTCCGGACGCATAAATCGCATCAGGCGCCATCGTACGCCGGACCAACGATGCATCATAACATCAACTAGTTGCTGGAAAGGCGGCGAAAGGAGCATCCATACGCGCACGCAATTAGACCCCCGCCGTGAGATTCGTCGGTCGCTGTGAGGCAGGTGGGGACATGCCTGGAGGCTGAAAGGGCTTCCGGACGCATAAATCGCATCAGGCGCCGTCGTACGCCGGACCAACGATGCATCATAACATCAACTAGTTGCTAGAAAGGCGGCGGCGAAAGGAGCATCCATACGTGCACGCAATTAGACCCCCGCCGTGAGATGCGTCGGTGGCTGTGAGGCAGGTGGGGACATGCCTGGAGGCTGAAAGGGCTTCCGGACGCATAAATCGCATCAGGCGCCGTCGTACGCCGGACCAACGATGCATCATAACATCAACTAGTTGCTAGAAAGGCGGCGAAAGGAGCATCCATACGCGCACGCAATTAGACCCCCGCCGTGAGATGCGTCGGTGGCTGTGAGGCAGGTGGGGACATGCCTGGAGGCTGAAAGGGCTTCCGGACGCATAAATCGCATCAGGCGCCGTCGTACGCCGGACCAACGATGCATCATAACATCAACTAGTTGCTAGAAAGGCGGCGGCGAAAGGAGCATCCATACGCGCACGCAATTAGACCCCCGCCGTGAGATGCGTCGGTCGCTGTGAGGCAGGTGGGGACATGCCTGGAGGCTGAAAGGGCTTCCGGACGCATAAATCGCATCAGGCGCCGTCGTACGCCGGACCAACGATGCATCATAACATCAACTAGTTGCTAGAAAGGCGGCGGGGAAAGGAGCATCCATACGCGCACGCAATTAGACCCCCGCCGTGAGATGCGTCGGTGGCTGTGAGGCAGGTGGGGACATGCCTGGAGGCTGAAAGGGCTTCCGGACGCATAAATCGCATCAGGCGCCGTCGTACGCCGGACCAACGATGCATCATAACATCAACTAGTTGCTGGAAAGGCAGCGGGGAAAGGAGCATCCATACGCGCACGCAATTAGACCCCCGCCGTGAGATGCGTCGGTGGCTGTGAGGCAGGTGGGGACATGCCTGGAGGCTGAAAGGGCTTCCGGACGCATAAATCGCATCAGGCGCCGTCGTACACCGGAAGAACGATGCATCATAACATCAACTAGTTGCTAGAAAGGCGGCGGGGAAAGGAGCATCCATACGCGCACGCAATTGGAACCCCGCCGTGAGATGCGTCGGTGGCTGTGAGGCAGGTGGGGACATGCCTGGAGGCTGAAAGGGCTTCCGGACGCATACATCGCACCAGGCGCCATCGTACGCCGGACCAACGATGCATCATAACATCAACTAGTTGCTGGAAAGGCGGCGGGGAAAGGAGCATCCATACGCGCACACAATTGGAACCCCGCCGTGAGATGCGTCGGTGGCTGTGAGGCAGGTGGGGACATGCCTGGAGGCTGAAAGGGCTTCCGGACGCATAAATCGCATCAGGCGCCATCGTACGCCGGACCAACGATGCATCATAACATCAACTAGTTGCTAGAAAGGCGGCAGGAAAGGATCATCCATACGCGCACGCAATTGGAACCCCGCCGTGAGATGCGTCGGTGGCTGTGAGGCAGGTGGGGACATGCCTGGAGGCTGAAAGGGCTTCCGGACGCATACATCGCATCAGACGCCATCGTACGCCGGACCAACGATGCATCATAACATCAACTAGTTGCTAGAAAGGCGGCGGCGAAAGGAGCATCCATACGCGCACGCAATTGGAACCCCGCCGTGAGATGCGTCGGTGGCTGTGAGGCAGGTGGGGACATGCCTGGAGGCTGAAAGGGCTTCCGGACGCATAAATCGCATCAGACGCCATCGTACGCCGGACCAACGATGCATCATAACATCAACTAGTTGCTGGAAAGGCAGCGGGGAAAGGAGCATCCATACGCGCACGCAATTAGACCCCCGCCGTGAGATGCGTCGGTGGCTGTGAGGCAGGTGGGGACATGCCTGGAGGCTGAAAGGGCTTCCGGACGCATAAATCGCATCAGGCGCCGTCGTACACCGGAAGAACGATGCATCATAACATCAACTAGTTGCTAGAAAGGCGGCGGGGAAAGGAGCATCCATACGCGCACGCAATTGGAACCCCGCCGTGAGATGCGTCGGTGGCTGTGAGGCAGGTGGGGACATGCCTGGAGGCTGAAAGGGCTTCCGGACGCATACATCGCACCAGGCGCCATCGTACGCCGGACCAACGATGCATCATAACATCAACTAGTTGCTGGAAAGCCGGCGAAAGGAGCATCCATACGCGCACGCAATTAGACCCCCCCCGTGAGATGCGTCGTTGCCTGTGAGCCAGTTGGGAACATCCCTGAAGCCTGAAAGGGCTTCCGAACGCATAATTCGCATCAGGCACCTTCGTACACCGGACCAACGAGGCATCAGAACATCAATTATTTGTTAGAAAGCCGCCAGGAAAGGAGTATCCATACGCGCACGCAATTTGAACCCCGCCGTGAGATGCGTCGGTGGCTGTGAGGCAGGTGGGGACATGCCTGGAGGCTGAAAGGGCTTCCGGACGCATAAATCGCATCAGGCGCCGTCGTACGCCGGACCAACGATGCATCATATCATCAACTAGTTGCTAGAAAGGCGGCGGGGAAAGGAGCATCCATACGCGCACGCAATTAGACCCCCGCCGTGAGATGCCTCGGTCGCTGTGAGGCAGGTGGGGACGTGCCTGGAGGCTGAAAGGGCTTCCGGACGCATAAATCGCATCAGGCGCCGTCGTACACCGGAAGAACGATGCATCATAACATCAACTAGTTGCTAGAAAGGCGGCGGGGAAAGGAGCATCCATACGCGCACGCAATTGGAACCCCGCCGTGAGATGCGTCGGTGGCTGTGAGGCAGGTGGGGACATGCCTGGAGGCTGAAAGGGCTTCCGGACGCATAAATCGCATCAGGCGCCATCGTACACCGGACCAACGATGCATCATAACATCAACTAGTTACTAGAAAGGCGGCGGGGAAAGGAGCATCCATACGCGCACACAATTGGAACCCCGCCGTGAGATGCGTCGGTGGCT